AAATTAGAACTCAGCCGTCCTTAGGGTGTAACGGTGATATATTAACACGTTTTTTTTAAATCGGATGAAAATTATGACCTCTATAGGGTCCATAAGCCAAAAAACGCGTTTTTACGTACAATCAGGGGCCATAATTCAGGAAGATACGGTTCGATATGCGCGAATATCGAAAGGAACTAAGATCTTTGGGTTATAAACTTACATTTCAAGTTTCAAAAAATCGGATAAAAATTGTGACCTCTACAGTGTTCACAAGCCAAAAACGTGATTTTTCGTGCAATCAGGGGCCATAATCCATGAAGTTACGGTCCGATAGATGCCAATATCGAAAGGAACCGAGATCTTAGGGTGATAAACCTATATTTCAAGTTTCATTGACATCAGATAAAAATTGTGACCTGTAGACTGTTCACAAACAATTGTCGACGGACGTCCGGACGGACAGGGGCGACGACAATATACGTCCACATGAAAATGTGGGCGTATAAAAATATGTAATACGAATTTGATGAAACTTAAAATATATGTTTTTATCCCAAAGATCTCGGGGTTGCTTTCGATATTCACTCATGATTATTGTTCTAGAAATAGCGTTTTTAGCTTGTGGACCTTCCAGAGGACACAACGTTTATCCGATTTTAAAACCAGTTCGAATATAAAACCGTTAAACTTTAATTACAGTTGAGGTCCAATTTCGTACGCATATAGTGTAAAAGTATGTAATACCACGGTTGTAGACCCCGTAGAGATCACAATTTTTATCCGATTTTGATGAAAATTAAAATATATGTTTATATCCTGAAGATCTTGGTAACTTTCGATATTCGTACATATCGTACCGTAACTTCAAGTATTATGGCCCCTGACTGTACGACAAATCACGTGTTTAGCTTGTGGACCGAATAGAGAACACAATTTTTATCTAATTTTAAAAACCGTTCAAACATATCACCGTTACACATTTCGCGTTTTTAACTTATGAACCCTCTAGAGGTCACGATTCGTGCTACGATTGAAATCGATGTTTTAATCGTGGAGTTATCATGGTGATCCTATCTGGTCTTATATTGAGGTCAGTAATAGCAATCGTGTTGAGCATATCGAAACGTGTCCGAACTTATCTGCACGTAGCAGATCGTGGACTCAATAGAGACTTTTGGAAAGCGGTATTTTTCCCATCCGTACCCGTATCGTCACGTGATACGTTGGTCAACGTAGTTTTAGAGCTTTGGTAGATTTTCGCGCCGCGTACGAATGAAAAGCTGTATCAAGCTTAGTTCTGTTACAGCATGATGGCAGTTATCTACCAAGATTACCATCAGTACTAGTCAAGTGTGTCTAGCCAACAAATTCCTGGAAGGGGTAAAGTCGTTCGACAGTCGCTGAGATATTAAATACTATTTAATGTCGAATCGGCTTCGACTCGACAGCAATTTTTGGTTTCACTAATGTATCATTTCAGAAAGTTTATACCCCTTTACCATAGAATCACATCATTTACAGATTTGTAAGGTCCCACCTCCATTTAGCACGTATATTAAGTAGCATACACAGTAATACACACACAGGCAGGCAGGAAAATATGAAAATTCAGAGAAAACTCATCAAAAATAATGATTAAATTCAAGTGTTTATCAAGGTTTAAATCAAACCCAATATGTACCTTCGTGTTCTAGGATACACATAGATTCATAAAAACTCTGGTACAACATTTCAGCGTCTAAAGGTAGCAAAAAAGACGGTAAAAGGACGGCGATGTTATATGGACATTTTTCGTATGAAAGCTGTACGTACTGTCGTATCCGTGTGCCGTGTCACGTATGAGAAATACACACACATCGTTGACGTCACAGGAAATATCGATACGGACCAGAATTTACGCTTGCCAAAAGTCTGTATTAGGGATAATCCTATAGTAACGCATAGCACGACAGTGGGAACCTAGAATTACCAAATTCGCTATTACAATTCTCGTAAAGACACTGTTACTCGTAGCTATTACCTAACGCGTAACAGTGTCTTTACGGGAATTGTAATATCGAATAGGGTAACCATTACCAAACGCGTCCCTATTACAAAACGGCTTGTATTAATTCAAGAGGGTCTAAAGTCTGAATATAGGCCGGAGCTTGTCAGGCCCCACTTTGGCGTATCAGCAGCAAGATTGACCGTGCGATCGTAATATAATAAGAATAACCCCTTTGGGTATTGTCAAAAAGCTGTGTAACATATTTTCTAGAAAATTTAGCTCTGTCACAAGCATTCAAATTAAAAATGTGAAAGACAAATTGTTGCCCCAAGAAACGGACTCATCAAAATAAATTTGTATGGTACTCAATTTACATGATTTCATGAATTTGAAGGTAACGGTTGGAAATACCACGTCTTTGTTAGCCCATGCATTTCATTTCAACATACAATTAAAATATTCTGTGAACGTAAACGCCGTGACTGTAATAGAAATGTACAATGACTTAAACTAGAAAATCTGGAGTTCTTTGTTCATAAATTTGTTTTTGGAAGATTTGATATAAATTGGCTTACGTCAGTATTTCCTCCTTGTATCAATTGGCTGATTCGTATCCGCGCTACAGCGGTTTGCGCTTGAAGAACCCACTAGAATAGACCGCTAAAGATATAATTGATATTATTACAAGTCGGCAACTCAGTCTCAATTGTTCTTGTACAGTTCCGTTATTTCGCCGTCTCAATAGATCTTGCTCGGATTAATAATACATTCATATTCGTAATTTATATGGTAAACCATAGGTTTAGGTATATTGTGGGAAATGAAATGAGATGACCGCATGCGTTTCTGTACCAACCGAGCTAATGGAGACGGGGATACACAATGTAGTGTGCAATGACAATCTGATTAAAATACAGTTCTATATTTCGTTTCGTTTTTTTATACTTTCGATGGCCTACACTACATGGAGATCTGACAAGTTATAGCGATAGGTCGCGTCAGGGGTCAAAAGACCGACTTTTGACCTTATGACGTCAGACATATGATAAACCAATCAGCATTGATGTTACTAGTGGATTACCCACAGTTCCGTGCAAAACAGGCCTAACGCTCGCCGTAACATTGGCTTATCCCCGACACCATTCAGAACACGACTTAAATAACAACTCTTCCCGATCCTACTGTAGTAAAGACAAGTAAAACGAAATTTTGAACTATAAAAACGAAATAGGATCTGTGTTTTAACCAGATTGGTGCAATGACGGACAGTGGAGCTACGGCCTATGCTTCTTTCGAAAATAGAGCTGTGAAATGTCAATTACATAATATACTCTTCAAAGAAAGTAGGGGATATTGAAATGCAAATACCTATGCAGGTTGTGATATGATAAATAGTTATGGACACTTGACATGCTTTGAGAGTATGTTCACAGATGAAGAACTTATCGCCCCTATAGAATCATTGAGCTGCACATGCGACACGCAATAGCGCCATACACGTGGGAGGGGGTTTATAGTCAAATTTGACACTTCAAGCAAGGGTTGATGAATACTGCCGCGTGCTGGTGTATCCTATCCATGTTTGCTTTCCTATCGGTTCTTGCATAAGATTTCCTGTATAGCGTATCTTTGTTTTAGTGTGTTACCTTTAATTTGAAGTCAACGTCAACCGACAACACTGCAAGAATTGGCCGTGGCACTGCTAGAGGGGTGGGTCAGATTGCCCCAAATCATGATTGGACGGTTGATTAGGAGCATGCCACGATGAATTGCTGAATGTCTGGGGATTGGTGGAGCAATTACTCATTATTAAGACAAAAATCAAAAACGTCCATTTTCACTTTTGACAGTGTATCTCTTTGCGAGTGAAATGGGGCCGTAAGATAAGCCGCCCATATGAACTGTTTATATTCATGTGTAGGCAATTGTCCTGTTATTAACATACACTGGTTACCTCTAATAAAAACATAAGTGCATTTCCGCAGTTTTGTATTGTTTCTGAATATCCCCTACTTTTTTTGAAGAATATATACGCCAACGTGCACACAAGACCTCGGTTTGTCTACCCTTCCGACACTCATCCATGCCACCTCTCAGTCTTAAATAACTGAGAAGGGAATCACGGCGGAAAATCTCAGTCACCACCGGAACCTAACCCTGGATCTACTGCAGTTACTCACACAGCTACTATATTGTGTGAACATTTATAAATATGCACCAATAAAAAATATTCATTACCTTCAAAGTATTAACCGCTGATGATTTAACACGTTTAACCCTTAATCACAGATCTTAGTGGGAAGAAAATATTGATAGTAAACAATTATAAATGTTTTAGCGACAGAACACCTATATTTATTGTCGCCGTTTTCATGGTAACTAGCGGTAAATTCTATGTCTTCTTAAAACTTGACGAAAATAAATGGTTGATCTGACATGTTATTATCCCATTTTCATGACATCGTGTGTCGTTACGGAAATGAAATATTCCATTTGGTTAATGGATGCGTGTATACTACTCAACATAACGGAGATAACCTCAAAATAAATTGAAAAATGGCTGTTGACTGACAAAATACTGTCATCATAAGCTACCATCGTATACTACTGAATAATATATTTAAGTTCTATGACAGTCTACACAGATGTGTTCCACGGGAGATAATTTTCGGACGATTAAGTATTCTCTTGTCAGAAGTAATGGGTATCGATAGGGTTCATTTATTCCGTAGACAGATCGGTTATTTGCATTTATTTTCAATAACATTAGCGTAGCCTGGTAGATTGTAACATCCAGCGACGAATGTGATATTGGGTGCTATAAAAGTTAGGAACAATTTCCTAAATGTTGACTTGTGGAGAAGTACCAAAATAGGTTTTTGGTAAAGTCTACCACTATCGCAGGTGTTCATTTTTCTCAATTTTTCAATTAGCGCATATTCTTGTATAGTGACTTCATGTTTTACTTTAATGTTTAATAAATATGCGATTATAGCGTACGAATTATATGGGTTAGCTATTCAAACACACAAAATTTATAAATCTGTTTATTTTCAATGAAACGTGATCGCATGTAACAATTGCAATACCTATATTTACAGTAGATGATAAAGTAAGCATAAAACATCAGTAAATATGAATTGGGGAATTATTCTATAATGCAATTAAAAGAAATTATGTTACTATGGGTAATATAATTTATTTAATAGGGCCAATATAATATGTACAGTCTTTGGTTGCATTATTTCTATGTTAAACTTAGAAACATACGTCTAAAACCGTAACTGTCAAGAAAATGGAGAACAACAGCTTCGAGATCTGAACTAGGCGCCCCCAAATTAAAATCAGTTCTTTAAAATGAAAAAAAACTTCCACATGGTATGGTCCAATGTGCCAAATCCAAAATACATCATAAAATACAAATACGAAAAATAAACTGGGAAAATAACAAAAATTGGATGTATGGTTGGAATGAAATATTATATTAATTACATCCCAGCGTCCTGCACGAACAAAATATGGCCACACGTGCCACTCAAAATACACTCACGCTTGCATAGATTATCTCGCAAAATTAGAATGAAAACACATTTGAATGGACACACAAAAATTATGAATGGCTGTAGCAAACCAATCTGTTAATCATTCGCGAAAAACCATTGATTTCGTCCTTAATATCGAAACCTTCACAGCTAAATTGTTTATTTTCGATAACAAGTTCGAAATAAGACAATATAACAAGTTGGTTAATTACGTAGATTACAAAATAAATCAAATTTTTACTCCAACCAAACCATTCTATGAGAGGAAGTACCTGATTGGCTGTAGAATGTCAGACGAAAGTAATAGTCCAAACAACTGGTTAGAAGTTTGATACTTTAAATTAGAATTCTAGATTTATATATTTATCTACCCATAATTAATATCAAAACACAACAATTACCCGTACATATAATAAGAACATCTTATGTTATAAATGTGTCTAATGATAAAAAAGAATGATTTTATATACAACACAAAATATAGTTTATAGCCAACTTACTTTTATCTTTTAGAAGTTAGATGTATATTTATTTTCGTAATAAGAATGAAGTGTATATATGAGTCTCGTGTTTTTCGAGTAGTTCTTGAATTCGATAATATTACAATTAATAATATTTTAATTGCATTTAGTAACTGGATAGAGCAATAAACTATAACACGTCATACTTATAGAAAACAGTTACTAATTTATTTGGGCAACATTTCGAAGAGTATTCTCTCAACGTTAAGCTTGATAACGTTGAGGGAACACTGTCTGAAATGTCGCCCAAATAAATTAGTCTGTTTTCCGTAAGTCTGTGTTATAATTTATAACCATTAATGTGTTGATACTTTTAAAAAAAATAGATTGGTTTGTTACAAGCACATAGATAGAAAAAAAGGATGATTAAATAATTCACATAATATTGTACAATTTTTCTGTCTGTACACTTAGAGAAGTCCACGTCCAAAAATGTTGACAGAAAATACACCCAATTCCAAACCGAAAAAGCGTACCCCACACATTTACGCCTTACACTTCAGGTCACCGTTTTCAGCATTGACCTATTCAAGGTGTGACAATGATTCAGACTGTCTGCCAATTCCTTTCGTTAACTTTTCTTAATAATCACGGCATTTTAATTGTTCCCACTGTCGCACACTCTCCAAGCACTTTAGCAATATTCACATAGACAAAACATCATCATCATGTAAGTAAAATATCAAAACATACTTTCAGTCTCAGGGTCATTGTTTACTTCCACATAAAATTTACCTTCATGGTATCGTTTTTTATTTTTTTGTGCTTCGTCTAAATCGTCACATTCACTAATACTTATAGCGTTTGTATAACTTGGAGATCGCCGTAAAACCGCCCTGCGCCTCGGCGTAATATTCCCCTCACTCCGAGTATCCTCTTGATCTTTAAATAAAAGTCTTTCAGAGGAGCCCACATCCTCTTCTCGTATAAAACTTTTTTCTATACTTTTTCTTCTAGGGATACCGTTAGGTTGTCTGTAACCCACAGGATTATATCTCCATACTGAATTACCTCCCTCTAATTTATTCTGTTTCCTATAAAATCAGATTCGTCAACATTTAGCTCATATTATAGAAATGTAATATTTAATCAACAAAGTTGCTGAAGCTATAACGTTTGCTATTCTCACAACACTAGATCGTACTTTATTTTCTTTTTTTAGTTGGTGTAATGTTGATAAAGGGATTGAATAATACATAAAAACATTTATTTAGAACGTTTTATTTTCTTTTAGAGTCAAACAAATTGCTATTATTCCATGTCTACCCCACTACAACGTTGCAGTTACGTAGTGTGTTTGTTAGGTACGTTGCTTTCTTTTTAATTGTAAAGATTGATTTAACTGCAGTTGGCGTTTAACAAAACGTTTTCAATACACGGGCTTTACACGGTCTTATATGCTAATGACAAGGTCCTATAATTCATCTTTATCAAGTTAGGGATATTTTGAGAATCACCATCGGTCTATCCAACATTTTGCAAGTACTGTTGAAATGGCACACCCTCGACGTTCAAAGTAGAAAAAAACACTATATGTGTTGATTCGTTTTGCTAAAACAACTTGACAAACTGTCTTAGTTCAAAATTTTACGTCCGTATTTAAAATCGGTGTTGACATATAACCCATTTGGTGTTCATCAATCGACAGTTTTAGTCAAAATGAAACTAAAATTTGTAACAAATGAATTTCCGACTAATCCGCAGAAATGAAAATTTAACCAAAGGAGCTTGTTCCATCACTAATACAAACAACATTTCAAGGGCCGCGGTATTTAATTTATGTTCACCTTATGTAAGGTATTTAACCCAAATCTCTATTCAACTGAGAAAAGGAAAAACTTGCAAACTACAATATTGTGAAAGATTAATCTCTATTAGGAATATCAGTCCAAAAATGGTTCAATTCCGTTCAGTATTTAAAAGATATGTGGATTTGAAATTTCATCCATCTATGCCGCTCGCTATGCAATAAGCCATTGCCCACGAAAATTCAATTTGAAATCAAGCCGGGATATTATCTAGCGTTGGTATTTTGATTTATGTTTTCTTAATCAGATGTCAAATAATGAACACTAGTACATATTATTATTAGCGTGGATTAAACCATGAGAAATGTGACATTCTAGCGACAAAGGACAATGGCGCATCGTTACTTTAAGGAACCTATAAGCAAGGGTGTTTCCATAACGTATCACTTTAGTTGCTAGACAATCTTCTATGTTAAAAAGAAGAGCCAACTACATGTCGTCTGCTTTTAGCGCACCTCACCTTAGTTTGAAATAAACATCGTCTCATTATTTCAGAAAGAATTTTCTCAAATTGTAGAAAGTGAGATGTTTTAACACAGTATATTCTGAAATGTTGAGGAAACGCCCCTTACCATGAGATACACGTAATGAAATTCAGGGATGAATTATAAAAGCAGATAATTCTTCCGTGAACTTAAAATACCTCGAGTATGAACCATGATTCAAAGTTGATTTTCGATTTGAACTTAACAATTGAATACAATTTAAAGGAATTTCCTGAAATTGTGTTACCTTAAAGCTGAGGAGGTTTACCCCCTTAACTTTCTAAGAATACCGACCACCTAATGATGTAGGACATACCTTATATTTAGGAGGAAATACCTTATATTTAGGAGGAAATACCTTTATATTTAGGAGGAAATTTTAACTTAGTTGATATGACCCTCTTGATTAGCCAGGAATGGGCAGAAACGTAGGATATTAACCACTAATTAGATTACTAATAGGGCTGGTTGGCTGGTGGACTGTAGCCAGGGGCCTGAATATTAAATGCTCCCACAAATTATTTCTTAAATGTTGTATATATTTGTGCCAAATATATATATTTATCTACAATACTGACATACAAATTGCATATGTTTGAGTGTGACGGACAATAAAAGAGATTCTGACCCCTTTTCATTGTTTATGTAAGTTTCATACGGGCCTGATTACTAAAGTATACATACCCTCTATCTTCTAATTTATCTATTTTCAATAATGCTAAATCTAATTCATGTTTTATTTTCCATAGCTGTGTTTCACATAAAGCATCTTTACATCGTCGTTTACGATGTGTTTGTATAGCTTCTAATACAGATTGTTCAAATGTTAAAGATTTACCCATACTCTGTAATATAAAACATTATACTAAAATTAAATTAAAATTAGGATGTAGAGTAGTTATATTTGCTAATGAGCCAATTAAAATAATTATGCCAATGTCATATAATGTTTACAGGGAGCAACACTAACCAGGGGGTCGGTCCGAAGGTCGATCCGAAAAGTACCTCAAGTTTTTCCAGCGTGGATTCCCCTTGTTGTCAGTGGTGAATGCTGGGGGTCTGGCAAAGAACAGTTTCTAATCATTCGTATGGGGTTGAAATTCGAATTATTAATAGGCTGAAACGCCGCTTTCAGGGCAAAAGTTTACCCATGGCACATTGTATGCCCGTCAACATTTTTCCGGTTGCTGTAGAAGAGTAGTACTTTGAACTCATTTCATATGTTTATTTAATGTTGTACCTTGCATCCATTTCGATATAAACGTTAGAAGGCGCAACGGGAAGTTATTTCCAAAAATGTTTTAGAGGGTTACTCAAGGGATTCGATTTATCAATAATGTCCATTACTATAAATATAAATTTACTAAGATAAGATAGAGCTAGTGGCCTGGAATAATTTGACCACCACAAATTTACAAATTGTTATGTTATTTTTGAAACTGGGCTATATACATGTATACTTACCAAACTAACTAAAGCACAACAACCACATTTATCCCATTTCTTTAATTTACTCCTTCCAAACCGGAAGTAACAATGTTCAATACCCAATAAAATGGCGCCTAATACCATACCACAGGCTAATAGAATAAATGCACTAGTAAAGTTTAAAATTCCTAAAGTATGACTGGAAATTCCCTTTCTCTTCTTTTTCTTTTGACATGCGCCTGCTAACCAGAACTTCTGTAATCTTTCTAATTCTCCTGCAAACAAATAAAAACTTAGAGTGTACCGAACAGCGTCATTTTGTACAATCGGCGGCCCCATGTGGTAATTAATGGCCATAATGGTGGTTATTTCCCTTTATCCGACCGCTTCGAAGGTAGGCCTATATTCATTTGAGAGTCTTGTCTGTAATTACGCCAATATATGTTGAGTAATGTTTTAAAACCGGTAAAACAAAATGTATTGTCATCAATTCAGTAATTTGGGTACAAAGGTGATTTAAATATATATTAAATTGTTTTAATACATCCGCCATTTATCATTTAGAAAAAAAAGCATGCAGACACTACGTCATAGAGATCACGTTGTCTTTAATGTTTAATACACTCCATAAAATATGCATACATTGCTGATACTCGATTGAATGTCCCGTATTTGAATTCTCTAAATCCCCAAAATAGTGACAATCGAGTGAAAGGGGGCGGGAATTCCGCTACAAAGCATGCACTGGTCGCAAAAGAAAATTTCTCAACCAACCATGACAGCTGAAATATATTCGTAGTGTTTAATTACGTCATGACTCGACTCACCACCTCCGTTTTCTGTGACATGATAGAATTCTGCGTCATTAGATTGCAATTCGTCAATTTGAGATGTTCCCGACTAACATCAGAGCATCCCCTATATTTAACTGGCTGTCATTTTATTGGTTGACTGACATACTAATTCATTCCTTATGTCTCAAATCTATGATTACATTTTTTCTGGTAAAAGCATTATGGTATCAGACCAAATCAGGCTTTGGGCCTCGAATTAGTGATTCATTTTAACCTCAAGAGAACATATCTATACCAGCCATCATCACTTATATCTGGGAAAATGTGTTGTTTTGACAGTAATTTTCTGCTAGCATCGATGTTAAGTAATACATAGCAAATACAGAGAAATAAAGCTGGTCGGTATAAAATCAACAAAAGCTAACTCCACATCAAAGGGACATAACTTAAATTTAGGATTTCAATGCAAACTGGGTGAATAAAGAGGACCGTATAAAATAATTAAAAACGAAACTTCAAAGTTGACGAATTTAATACTTTGTTGGTTAACAGTATCAGTGACTGTGTACGGTATTACACTCTGTATAATTATGTCAACTTTCCCCATTTAATAATCAACATTGCCCAGTTAAGTTTCGACGAAAGTCCCACACACTCATTAAGATCCCATTCAAAAACTCGACGGGAAGTAAATCTTTCAAAACCATTATTAATGTAAGGCATTGATGCTATTGTAACTGTGGAAGACATATGAATAGGCATTATTGAATCAGTTGTGGATTAAGGATTGTCTTTATCTTCTTCTGCTTAGCTACCCGCAAGTTGTGAGCATGCTGACGTCATTACGACATTCAACATTGAAACGGCAAATTTTTGACTGTACAAGTGCGGAGGAATTTGCGCCTTAACAATTGATATTATCTCTGAAGTACAATTATCCAATCAGGTAGCCAACAAAAAAAAAATTCTCTGGATCAATTCTTCAAAATTAAGAAAACGTAAGGAATAACTTCCAACAGGAACAATTCCTATTTTTGATACTTTTACGTACCTTTATCCTGTTGTTCTAATATGATTTTGTTAACTTTATCTTTCCATTGTGAACCATGAGGAAATGCTACACCGTAACCAGTCATAGCATACCAACTACCCACTGTTATTAGACGACAATGTTTATCCTGTCCAGCTAAATATTCCAATACCGTAGCATCATAAATAAAGGCTTGTATCTCTCTGAAATTATTGATAAACAAACATAGCCAAGATTTAAATATTATATTTTGGTTGGGTAATTAGTTAACAAAGCCGTATACCCTAACCATATAAACTCTTTAAAAATATCAAGAGACCTAATCATCATGCCATTAAATGATCTATCAACGGAGACAAGAATGTCACTATATCATATTATGGATGGACTGAGTCTAGTAATTGCTTCCCCTGATCTCACGATATAGTGCGTTTATTTATAGCAATTGTCTCTTTCTTTCTCCCCACCCCATTTAGTTGTCTTTTTGGTCTAGAATCAAATAATATGGTTACAAAAAGTGTGTTTGAATTTGTATTTTTGGTCAAGATTTGGTGAATATTAATGAATTTGAGGTGGGGGTAAAGACGTAAACAAACATGAAATAGGCTGATCGCCTACTAAAATCACGTCACTACTCTAATATTTTACCAGATGATTAGGCCATGTTGGGCTCTTTGTGGTTTTAAAGATTATCGGAATGTTAAAAAAAAAATGTTATAGGCAAAGAAATGTCTGTGTGGAGTGTATAGTCCGTGTCCTAAAACCGAGTGAATAATTGCAATTCACATAGCTTATCACACATCAGGGCTAAGGATGTTAAAATTTCATTAAATTACATTATTTTCATAAATTTGGCTATGCTCAAATGAGTACCAAATATTGTCTAATTACTTACTGTTTCTTTAAAGCTGCTACACCATCCGCCACGGTAGGTACATTATATTTCTTCATATAATTATACATATCTGGGTGATTCTTTTTAATATTAGACTCCGTACTTCCGCTAGGTATAGTAGCGTATTTAAATGGTGGTTTTGTGACATAGGGATTCTTCAACTGTAAAGAAGTTACATAATAGGATATGAGAGCAAATTACAAGGTTTGAATAGACTGTAGTAACAGATAATGATACTATTTTTTGCCACCAGACAGCAATATGCATTCTCAAACTCAAATTACATTAAATTCTATATTTATCATGCCACCCGTTGCTTGAGTAAATAGCTATATATATATATTAAGCTGTAAGTTAAATTTTAAAAGTCTAACCAAACAAGCAGATGATTAATAATTGTGATCAGCACGGAAGCTTAAATATGAACTATCTCTTATTTTTATCTGATAATGTTGAAAATTAAGTTTAAAATTAAAGCTTCAAATTTAAAATATGAAATTCAGGGAGCAAGATATATTTCGTATTTGAGTTTCCGTATATATACTAATAACCGACAAGAGCGTTTTTGATAAGTATTGCAAAGGTATGTTATAGATATCCACATTTTACACATCATAATGATATAAAATAATTTTTTTGACAAAGCGGCGTAAAAAGCACAACAAGAATAAAATATGTGATAGAGAAATATATCATGTAACTCCCACAGAACAAAATCAGTTTAATTGAATGACATTAAAGGAAGATAATAATGCGGGTTGTAAGATTTCATGTATGTCGCAACAAAGCATCTTTTTTCGTCAATCATAATTTTTTCAATTTATTTTATGAAATCATTTAAATGTTGGCTGTGATGTGTATAACATATCTTTCCTTGTTTGTTGGTTAAGTAAATAGTTTATTCTGTGTTAACTATAATTCCTCCATATCACTTTTTGCAATACTTTGGGCGCTATTGATAACATAATTTTGTCCGTGACCCAGGGTAGACTATTTGATTATGAACTGGTGTATATATCTATAACATATATTGTAAAAAAAACGCTCTTTTGGTAACGATTAATAACACACACTTACCCTTAGATCCTGAATACCTGACAGATCATAATATTCCTCTTTTGTAATCATAAAGGCAGCCAGGTTGGCAGTATAACTTGCAAGGAAGACCAAAGCAAACAAAGCCCACATATTTGCCAGAAATCTGCTGGAAACACCTCGAGGTGTATCTGTTGATACAGCAGCACTGAATAACATGGCCCATATCAACCAGAAAGATCGGAATAATGAGAATTTGTGCTCTGAAAAGGTAGTAAATTGCCTATTTTATTTAATTTTATAGTTTGATTTGTTTAGCAATAAAACGTGTGTAGATAATGTCATGTTTTGTTTAGCAGACAACCTTTGAAGTCAAAATAAGAAACTAAAATTAAGATGACTTCCGTTTAATCCTTCAAAACGCAAATATTGTCGTAAAATTATCTGTTTAAACATAACTGTTTATTGAGATCCGACTTTGAAAAATTATTGACCTACTCTCATAAGGTCTAACTTTACTATTTATCTGTTCACTTTGAGTCTGATTTGAGTCACTCCATTGGTTAAAGAAATCATTTCTCAAGGAAACACATCTTTTCATTGGCTAAATGTGGGACCAACTCAATTCAATTGAACATAAACTTTATATTCAAAAAGATGGTGTTAAATATTACGCCAGTGACATTATAAATGATATGAACACTGAAGTACTGTCCAGTTTTCATTACACTGCGAAATTACGCATAGGTTCTACCAATTCAACACTTTATGTTCACCTAAATCAAGAGGTTTACACAGAATAAACATTTGAAATAATATGAAAATTGAAATGGAAATATTGGACAAGTATGTGGTTCACATGGGGTTGATAATCATCCTTCATATCCATTGGTTATTATTGTAATTGGTCACAATAAATTTGCTATTGGCTCATATTTTTCCTAAAGGTCATGGGTCTTGCTTTCCAGCACCCCGGTGATATAACTTTCTATTGATGATTCAGTAATTGTCCATAACTGTTTGTTTCTCTTTATTGATATCATCCACAAGATTTACCTCAGTTACCTCGCAAAGTGGTTTTTCCTTGATTCAGACCATACGGACTCAGCCATTCAAATATAAATATAGAAGCTCCGGTAGCATGTACACTAAATACCAGGATCAATGTCCATGAAGGATAATCATACGGTTCTGAAATAAAACAGATCGAGAAATTAGGACCTTTGCTTTGTCTGTTCCAATTTGTGTTACAGTGTTAGTTTCTGTCTTCGACTAAATCCAGCTGTTTGTCCATGTGTTTCTTACAAATTTGAACTACTTAACAAGAGTTATCAACGTTTGATTCGCTAGACGATTGGAGGCGAGTTTCCAGCTTCCCTGTTAAAAATATAAACAAAAAAAAATAAAATCTCATATCAGTAAGAAATGTTTCCTATTGTGTGTGAGTCTCCCTACCACCTGATTTAGAAACATTTGTGATATGGAAAAATGAAATGGGATTTGTACAGAACATAAAAATTAGAATTGCTACAAAATAACACAAAATCTTGGAACATGATGAGATTAATTAAGTTGTTATTTCACCATTTGTGAAAAGTCATTACAGGACTGTTAAGTTGTTTTTTTGTTGTAGACGGCGAACTGAAATACTAAATACAATGTCAGAATCCATAAAAGAGTCTAACCTAAGAATGCTGTGGCTGAAATAGCACCTTCTCTAATAGCTACGATAATGGTTATTCCTGTTTCAAGATATGGTGCAGAAAAATCTACCACCGATGCCCTTTCTGGGTTAATCTTTAACGACGTTACAACCCAATCGGCTTTCTTGTCAACTAAAGCTCTCGGTAATCCATTCCATTCGTTAGTGTCCTAAAATATTAGATAATAGCTTATCGTGAAAATAAACAGAGACAGGTGCATCATTGAAAATATACGTTTAAATGCTTTAAAGACAGGCAGCAATTTCTTTTTTTATTAAAAAAAATCTATAATTTTAGTTTGTGTTTTCCGTAAAAATAAGAATGGCACATAGCTTTTAATAGGTGAATCTGGTGTGACGTGGATTTCAGAAGACTGAGCTATAGTATCCAAATATAGATGTATATCACTCTTGATTGAAATCATTATGGGATGTTTGTGTAAGTAACAGATACATAGAAACCGCAGTTTAGACGAATAATACAGATCTTACGTATAGTTTGTAGTTGGAATCAAATAATGACATAACGTATAAGCTGTTGTTAGTTTAAACAAATTATATTTTTTCAAAGTTGCAATAGTACATAGCATAATAAGTGATACGTATATACCAACAAAACTTACATTTATATAAACACACTTTCGTGCTACTTGGATGTATATTTAATGCAACATGCCGGTTCACCATCAAATGCAATAAATCCTTTTTTTTTTAAAACAAAGATGATTTAAAACATTTGCGGATTGTTCATAAAAGACCTTTTCTCTTCAAGTATCCCGAAAGCAAATCGAAAGATATAATGTTTTTGATAACAAGTATCTTTGCCAATATATCTTTAAAATCAAACGGTGAATAATGGCGTATTATTTAATCCACGTTAGAATCTTTAAGAGAAAGACCAACGTCCGGTAGTCTCAATAAAGGTATTAAATCGTAGTGATATATACGAACCTGATTTTCCGCACCCCACTGTCCATCTTCAACTTCAAACAGTTCATAATCAAAATCTAATTCATTACTTAATATCTTTAAAAGATCAATACTAAGTCCAATACAACATTTAGGAATAGTGATATTACTTAATCTGAAATAGATAAGTTAAAGGCTTATACTCTTGATGAAACCTTTCTAAACAGAAATGTCATATGCATACCCGAATAGCTGACACGATGATCTAAAATCAAAATCAGAAGTCAAAACCAATAAATCGTCCTCGCCACTGACTTAAAACAAAAATTGATTTATCGCAAATTGACTGTACAGTTAGGCCTACCATGTTTTCAAATTAGACAATATTCAAACTCTAAAAACAATCTACAAATTCATTATTGAGATGTGTATGTTTAAAGAGGTGGGTAGGGGTGGCGAAATATGTTTTGCTCTAAGTAGGCGTACTGTAATTGTTGATAATTAGACTGAAAGTTCTAATGTCGCTTTAAAGGAAATAAAGAGTCGGCCCTGTGCGCTTGTAATATGACTATTTTTTTTATTTACCATGGCGTGTGATTTTTAAAATAACATATGTAAACTGAAAATTTTGTTTTTCGTGAACCTTTCAAAACTACAATGCAGCAATTACAATAAAGCCTTACCTATTTTTATTTTCATCACGTTCATAAACTTTGCAGGGTACAGCTGTAGGATTGCATCCACCAGTGATAGGATCTGAAGGCAAATATATTACGTATGGATTCTCTTGTAATGTTACAACTCTAACAAACTTTCTAGCTGGTTTACCACGAGGTGGGCCTGCAGCTTCACCAGGCCAGGTTATATCTTTCATTACTAAACCTTCTTTATTCCACGAGCCCACCTGAAAATAAATTCAATTTGAAGCTGCAAATTTGAAAGAATCGTGTACTGTGAATAAAATGTTTAACGTAGCTAAGTCTCTAACTCAGTATCATCGAAAGTCTTCGACATTGAAAACACGAATCATTTATCAATTTAAATCAACATTGATGTTGTGATCTTACCGGAAAAGATGGACTTCTGGGTCCGTATTCAAATGATATCTTAATTATACGTAACTTCCTGTAAGTTAAGGGTAAGTGGTATTCAAAGGCAATGATAAGTATAAAATTGTCCCTTATGTTAAAGATACATTATGGGAGATAATATCTCGCAGGCTAGCGATGCCATCGGGAGCTGATTATGGTCTGGATAAATTAATTAATGTCTAATTAATAATTTAGATAACATTTCAGGCTTAAATAAAGACGTGCAATTGACAGATTTAGCTCTTGCATAATGTATGTTTAAGTTGCTTTAACTTTTAAGTGTTTAGTCTTTTAGTGGTATTCAAAGGCCAGTTTAGGTGAGAAAAATCCACTTAACTTTAAGTGACCTATGGGAGGTACCTTAAAGTTAAGTGAGATTATAATGACTTCTTTTAACCTGAGTACACCGTGTAGTAGCAGGGGATTGAAATTGGAACAAAGACAATGTCGCCGAGCGTAGCTGGTCTCAAACGTTTTTTTTTTCATCGTCAGCTTTGATGTTGGTTACTACCACAGAAATGATAGCGGATATATTTATATCCGATCATTTTTATCCTTTTCGTATTGCTTATTCATGTTTTCCACGACTCTCTTATAATAACGTTTAATGCGTTAAATTCATTTTTAAAATTTAACACTGGGTTGATATTTCATTGTAGATTTCGAAAAACATTTATACTACCATGAGAAACAATTTCTCCAATATACATATTTGAAGTTATCTGCGAATTGGCAGTAGTATTGTTTGCAACATGTTCTTGTCTTCGTTTGTAAATAAATTTTCAAAAATATGATGATGATTGCTGGCCCCGTGTATTGCTAAGATATTGTTTTATATTCTTTATATATTTTTAAAATAATAAAGTTTACAATATACTCCATTATACTACCACTATTCGATAACTGCAATTGAAATCTATTGAAATTGAATTTTCCATAAAATAATATACTAGTTTAATTACTATGATTACAGTGCTTCTTTTAAGGGGACAAAACATGCGTGCGAAGATAGAAATTCGTGATATTTGGCAGTGGCGGGTATTCCATTAGTTAGAAATTCATGCTTTTTGGCGATTGCGGGTATTCCATAATTTAAATGTACAGTTACGTTTTTCACATAGCCAAGGAGATGTAACATACAGCCTTTGAATACCGATTTAAGGTAACAAACTTGGATAAGTGGAAAAATTAAGTATTTTATCCAACTTTAAGATCACCTTTGAATACGGACCCTGATATCCAATATTTAAGATAAAATAACATTTTACCATTGGTAATGCTTTTCAGCGCTATTTGTAACAAGGCTAGACATATTCCACAAGTCATGCCCAAACGGTGACGTCATATTCGTAATTGTAGAGCATGCGCAATAAATACTATCGATGTGGACTAACCAGGCACTAGAGATTGCCATTCGATTTCGTCGAAAATAACTGATTTGAAATTAAAGTAAATACGGAAACGATTGAATGTAATTCAGTTTATGTACATTCATATTACTTATTATATGCGTTGCGACCCATTTATGTCACTTTCTAGGTCCCAAGTATTAGTGATTTAGCTCCCATAAAGTATACATTGTATACATGTGGTTTCCTAAAACATCTGCATCGATCAAAAACTTGGAGATTAGCTAATACGAAAGTAAAATAACGTCGACTAGCTTTGTGAAGTTCAATAAATAAATAGTAAATATATATATTATGTAGTGTTGAAGTACCTGTTCCCACATTTTACCAGTTCCTCTTCGCTGGATGTTCATGATTTTTAACTCTGTAGACATTAAAATACCAGTCTCATTAAATCGTATATTTGGGGGACCAGTTACTGTCACATTTCTGAGATGACTGAAAGAGAAATGAAATTTTGTTGTTATTTTTTCTTTATTGGAATGATTTACTTGCTTGTTGCTTGATTAGGCCCACCCCCTGCAAAATGTTTCGCCCCCCCCCCCTCCACCCCCCGAAAAAATTGTCGACCATAAAACAATAGATATACATTGTCTGTCAGTTTTACAGCACCCCTTTGAGAACACTTCTGGCCCCCTCGTTACTCTGAGCTAGTTACGGCCCTACACTGTAAAAAATATCCATATTTTATGTGGCCGAATTCCGTAATTTAACACCTTTTTTCTGTTAATCGATGGATTTTTTGGAGAAATTGTGTTAATTGTCTGAATTATTTCTTCAAATTACGTGTTTTATGTATTTCTGTGGAATATTCAGTATTAAACAGGAAATTTCCGTGAAATTTAGGGATAAAATGTTTTAGTCCCTTCTATAACGGACTTAATTCTGTTATTTTACGGAATAAACGGTGGAATGACAAGGAAGTTCCGTGAAATTTGGGGATAAAATGTTTTATTCCGTTCTGTAATGGACTTAATTCTGTTGTTTTACGGGATAAACGATGCAACGATAAGTAATCGTATACATATATAATCATTCCTAATAATCATCATGTTATAGTATTCATTTCAATTTATTAACCATAATATGAAGAATCATATTTTGTAACGTTTGGTATATTAATTGACATGTATATCTAATTTCCATTATTTATAAGATCTATAAAGTGTATTGTTATTCATCATACGGTAATCAGATTGTAAGTATTTTCATAAAAATGTAAAAGTATGTTTTAATGCTGCGGGTGTTAAGGTTGTAATATTTAGTAATCAAGCACGGATAGTACAACCGGTAGGCCAGTGTAAGTCGGTTTGTCTCTATGGCAGAGTTTGCATACCTGCGAATTGATAATACCGCAAACTTACATCTGAATGCCTCCAACCACTGACGAGTAGCGGTTTGTGATACCTTGCTCTCGATTCTTATAATAGCGAAAAGAGGTTACGTTTAAAAATTATTTGCGATATCACTTCGGTGGAAGCGGACGTTAAATAAAGCTATTTCACGCACGCGTATAAAGTCAATGGTTAATTCAATGAAATTTTTATCACCTTCATGGTCAGGAAACAAAATTTACCAGGATTTTTTTTTTCTGTATTTGAAAATGGAATTTATGTTAATTGAAGGAATTTCTGTAAATTACAGGAAAAACAAATACGGATAAAATTTTCCTGGTAATTTTTGTTTCCGGAATTTTTTACGTTTTTTCACGGAAATTTTTGTTACAGTGTATGCTTGATAGATATTCTGAGATTAGCATCGTATAGTAACAACACAAATAAACATTTTTCGGTGGTTTTCAAACAGAACCGTCGTCTATAAATATTGTAGGCAGGTGTTCATCTTTTCCTCCCAAAAAAAACAAAAAAAAACTTACTCGTAAAATTTAGATCCATTTTTCCAAAACATGTGACTGTTGCCTTCACATGTTAAATTCGGTGATATTGATGATATAAGAGTTCGTTTCATGGCTATATTATTTAATGCTGTTACCCATGTAGTTGCTGCCATTTTTATAGCATTTTCCATTGCTACTTTACCATGATCATATGATACACCTGTATTAAAATATACATATATGTTCTTTTAATTAAAGAAAATTCTGTGAGAGACCGAGACCATTCGCCATTTTAATAATAGGTTCCATAATTTCAATGTTCGTGCATATATTTCGAAACTTAGTTATAACCATTTCATATTCTGATTCTAATTCGTGCAATCAGAATTATCCGATCTTTCGGCATAATTCCACAGGAGGTTGTAAAATGGGAAATCCCTTAAAAAATAACATTAAGCTGGGGCATTAGGTAAGTAAAAATGTGTTGGCCAAACGGATTAATATTGGAGAAAATTAGAGAGAATGGTGCATAGTATAACATCCCTATTTCTCACATTTCAGTATTTCTACAGAGTTATTTGGCCCTGGATTTAATAATTTGGCTTTATACATAAAAATAGGCACACTAGACTTTAGACATAAGCCTATATGCCTCCGTTTAATGCTATTTTTAAAAGATATTTTAGAATGATTAATGAATGATATTTACCTAGTAAACCTAAATGGAAGGAACGTGGAGCATATTTAGCTGTTGGAATGGCTGACTGTGATAAGATCCACACATATTCTGTACCCGCTATCCCTAATTCATGTGCATAATCCATGATATACTTTGATTGTAAACTGAAATAAAACATGGGACATTCGTAAAACAAGTACGATTTATTATGGACCAGAAACTGACCAAGTTGTTGGATGAAATTCAAAAATCTAATTCGCAAATTTTCATTTCGATCAGACATGAATTGACGGAGCCTTAGGCCTTTTCGTTGCTTTTTCGAAGAGCGTCACACCAAGAAGAAAAAGAACAAGAAGAACAAGATAAGTAGTGGTAATCCACCAGTTCCTGGTCAAAAAATCACACAATGAAAATGACAATTTTACTCCAGGTTTTGGTGAATATTCGTGATTTGGAAGCGAAAGGATAACATAGCTAAGAGGTTAGTTAGGTTTACTTCAAGTTTATGTATCTCAAGATATCCATGGTGAATCTCATGCTTTAGACAAGACGATATGATATTTTTGCCCAACGAAAGTAGCAGTGAGAAAAAACATATTGTGAGACATAGTTGAAAATATTGATGTTGGATCAATTATCACCAACTGACCAACACAGTAATATCTAAATAAATAGAAATTGAGTAGTATTTACGTTTTGGTTACAGGGGCAACAATTCTATCTAAAAATAAGCGCGAATCAGAAAAAAAACGTCGGCAAAGGCTCTGGTCTATTGAACATTTACAAGTTTTCAGGGTTTGGGGTCATAACTCTGCAAAATATATATGCGCGGCTCTGAATTTTGATCCATTAGATTTAAAAGAAAAAAGGTTTCAATAACTCTGACCTGTAGTGTGGTTACGGGGTCTCGGTGAGCTGAACAATAACTCTGTTATCTAAACAATCCCAACACGTTTGAACATAAATCTAAAAATACTGTATAAAGTATGATACTATGACGTTTACAAAGGTTTGGTGACTGGAGCAATAAGTCTGAGCGCATACAATCCCAACAAACGTCAGCCAAATGGACGGACAGGGGAGACAATATATCATATAGCATACATTATGGGCGTTAAAAATTGCACCTTAAAGAAAATACACACATGAACCTTTTACTTTCAATTATAATTTCACTGAAATTAGTCAGACGTTTATGTTAGCGGAATACCTATTGTATGTACATGTTGATGTATATTTTGAGGCTTCTAGTGCTTTTGCTATATTTATTTACGTGGAATTTGAATATATTGAGGTTCTTTTAGATAACAGCTGAACATGTCAAATGTTAGCCACTTTCAAAAACATTCTTTAATAGTATCAGTATCATATCCGCTATAAAAAGTTAGAATTAGATGATAAGATTATACAGATAACAAGAAAGCGGGAATCTTCTATTATAAAGGTATTGACTAATTGTCTATCTGGCACAGCTTGCAGCTATTTATTTTAACAAATTCTTGACAAGTACTTATCAGATTAAAGTTCCATAGATAACAATAGATACGAGAACTAATAAGATTATAGATAAAACTTTAAATTGGCGCTCCCATTCTTTATGCTTGAGAGTATTCGGGTTGTATTGTGCCAGAAAAGGAAGATAATTCAATATCAATATCGTATATATGAATAAAATATTCATTCTGCACACAGAGAACTATCTACTTTGAGAAAATATCTCTGCCCTGGATGGCCGCCATATTCAAAAAATTGTTCTAATCCGCTTTATACGTTTCATGCATACACAGACTAAATAAGCATTTTTATTTTTATTTAAACGGAAGTTGAATAAATACTTCTCGAAATGCTGGTCGCTGTCTTGTATAAAGCATATAAACAAAGAGATGGTCTTCGCTTCCAAAATGTATTTCTCAATATGCGTAGTGAATTATATTTCGAAAGGGTATTATTAATTATTGGTGTTTTGACACCGAGTAAAAGAAGCTTGGTATTGAACCCTTTCGTTACTTACTCAAAATATATATGCCTTGAATCAGATAAGTTGTTAGATTGTATTACATCTTACCTGAGGTAATAAAGGTGTAGACAAGATAACTGTTATATAAATATATACTATTACCTACAGATATTACACACCTGTTTGAATGTAGCAGAATAACACGACTTTCTGTTTCTATTAATCCCGTTAATTCTTTCATTGTTTGACTTTTATTCGTAATATTTCGTAAAATAATATTTGATATAACTTCGATTCTGAAATTAAAAATAGCGATGAACATCTCAATATATTGTTTGAGCATATATAATTCAAAAATATAAGTAAAAATAAAATAAAACAAAGTACAACAATCAAGAGAGAGAGCGAGGGAGAGGGAGAGAGAGAAGAGAGAGAGAGAGAGAGAGAGGGGGAGATTCTTTAGTAGTGGGATGAAACTGGGGTACACGTAGAAAAGGCAGGAACACAGTCTAGCGACTACAACCTTTCTCGCGTCCAACTTTCGATTCAAACCGCGACATTTAACAATAATAGACCTAATGATCTAAAACTCACCCAAAAACTTTACGGCCACCACCCCGTTAATGAAAATGTATCTAAGGGTTGAAATGACATTTAACACCTGCTTACAGATTGTTTTGATTATTTTATAAAATTTCTTTCCATGACAGATTTTCATGACAGGCTATTTGAAATCGAACAGACTCTTGCTTTTTCATACCAGTCTCATAAAAATACAGCATTAAAGCCAATCAGCCTATTCAGTGGTGACATGAACATATAGACATAACTCATGTTTTATTTAGACAAAATGAAATGAACTGGGCTAATGAAGATGGGCATACCGTGAGCTATGAGGGAAATTTTGTTCGGACGGCGGCGCTACGTTATTTAGACAAGTATATATAATAAATAAACGAACTGTCATATTATGTTCTCTAATGATGTGTAACAGCCCGAGCATTTTTCAAATAAATGTTTGATATATTCTTACTATATAGTGTAATAAAACCAATACTATTATTTGTCCTTTCGGGCATTATTTAAAATATATGGTCGTAACATTACGTCAGTTCACACGCAATACCGTTATCTTATTTATTTTGGTTTATTATTGTATAGTTGAGTGGGTAGTGGGGAATAAAAACATTCATGGAATATACAAAGGTGCATTTGTTTAATACTAGGGTGGCGATATCAGTGGGGATGGTCGGTGTATAGTTATTGGGGTTGGTATACAACAAGGTGTCTGTAATCTAACACAATTAATTTTGATCTTTTGTATTATATTATACGATACTTGTTAGGGTGTGACTTTCAGTAAGGATGTAAGGAGTTTGGTCAGGATTGTGAAGGTGTTTGATCAGGATTGTGAAGGTGTTTAGATTCATCAAGATTGTAAAAGGTCTGACTGATTATCAATGTTGTAAAGGCTACAAAAAGGGTTTGATTCATCAAGGCTCTAAAGGGTTTGATTCGTTACGGTTCTAGGGGGTTTGAATCATCAAGGTCGCAAAGGGTTGGATTTATCATTGTTGTAACGATTGTAAAGGGATAATATATTCAGCACATTATACAGATTTAAAGAAAGCGGTTGATAGATTTATCATGGTTGAAGAGGTTGTATAGGGTTTGATATAGATTTATCATAGTTGTAACGGTTGTAAATGTTGCATAGGGTTTGAAATAGATTTATCATGGTTGAAAAGGTTGTAAAGGTGTTGATATATTCATTAAGATTATAAAGGTTGTAAAGACAGGTGTTGACAAATTGGTCATAGTTGTAACGGTTGTAAAGGCGCTGATATAGATTTATCATGGTTGTAACTGTTGTAAAGGGTTTGAAATAGATTTATCATGGTTGTAACCATTGTAAAGGTTGTATAGGGTTTGGAATAGATTTATCATGGCTGTACCGGTTGTAAAGTTGTAAAGGAGTTGATATATTCATTAAGCTTATAAAGGATTTTGAGACAGGGGGTGATAAATTTATCATGGTTGTAACGCTTGTAAAAGTTGTAAAAAGTTTGATAGATTTATCATAGATGTAACGGTTGTAAAGAGTTTGATATAGATGTATCATTGTTGTAAAAATTGTAAAGGGTTTGATAAAGATATGTATCATGGTTGTAAAGTGTTTGTATCATGGTTGTAAAAGTTGCAAAGGGATTGATCGATTTATACTCTTCAAAAAAGTAGGGGATATTCAGAAACAATACAAAACTGCGGAAATGCACTGCTTTTTTTTATTAGAGGTAACCAGTGTATGTAAATAACAGGCCAATTGCCTACACATGAACATAAACAGTTCATATGGGCAGCTTATCTGACGGCCCCATTTCACTCGCAAAGAGATACACCGTCAAAAGTGAAAATGGACGTTTTTGATTTTTGTCTTAATAATGAGTAATTGCTCCGTCAATCCTCAGACATTAAGCAATTCGTCAAGACATGCTCCTAATCAACCGTCCAATCACGATTTGTGGCAATCTGACCCACTCCTCTTGCAGTGCCACGGCCAATTCTTGCAGTGTTGTCGGTTTCGGTTGACGTGGACGTCGACGAACACGTCTCCCGATCAAATTAAACGTAACACACTAAAGCAAAGATACGCTAAACAGTAAATCGTATGCAAGAACCGATAGGAAAGCAAACATGGATAGATAAACCAGCACGCGGCAGTTTTCATCAACTCCTCCTTGAAGTGTCAAATTTGACAATAAACCCCTCCCAGGTGTATGGCGCTATTGCGTGTCGCATGTGCAGCTCAGTGGTTCTGTTGGGGCGATAAGTTCTTCATCTGTGAACATACTCTCAAAGCATGTCAAATGTCCATGACTATTTATCATATCGCAACCTGCAAAGGTATTTGCATTTCAATATCCCCTACTTTTTTTTAAGAGTATATAATGATTATAAAGGTTGACAGAGGGTGATAGATTCATAAGGCCGTGTAAACCCATTTAGGATTACAAAGAGTTTAGCTTATTTATGATGGTTATATTGTGAAAACGTTTTTTCAGGTTTGTCGTATATACAACGCAAAAGGTTAATTTGTACATAAAGATTTTGAAGGGTTGGCTGGATAGAATATATAATATCTGGTGCGTGTATTATGGGAAGTTGCAAAGGTCTTGCATGAGAAATCAACGTCGTAAACCACATGGTTACTATATTATGAGAGGGGGCTGTAATATCAAAGTTTCTTAAAAGTGGATTTAAAACAGATACATTATGGTTTTAAATAGATAATCCAAAAATTCACCAAGTGTTTGTTCGGGTATCCCATAGTATTATTTGCATAACAAACTCTAAAAGTCTTAGCAGAAAGTATGTATATATTAGACTAACATCAAGCGTGAGCACTAAAAACTGCATATTGTTTTTTTAAAATACCGGTATATTTACCAATTGCTTTTGTCAATGTGATACTTTTTATATACGAAATGCTTGTCTAGTGTAAACTAAACATGCAAATCATAGAAGGTCCCAGGTGGTCATAAATTGTGCTATCGTGACATTAGTATAGTAGAAACCAGTGGATGCATTCCTAGAGATTAATTAGATATAGAGAGTCTTTAGAGACCCTTAATCTACTCTGTTATTATAATACCAAATGAAGTCTTCACCAGACGAATAACTCTATGGTTAAATAGGAACCGTGCATTCCATTTAAATATATCTCAGAATTTTGCTCTTTGTTTTGAGATTGAAATTGTTATAGTGTATCTTTGTATATGTTTTATTATATAATTTTAGTTAAAATAGTAATTGACCTATATCTGAATTGATATCTCATCAATCTTTCAAGTGTTTTAACTCTTTGGGTTTATACTTAATGTAACGATATATATTACGTAATTAAATATCCGTTTCCGATGTACAATTTAACATTTCTGATCAAATATTATTATATAATTATTTTAATCCTAAGCTTGTATATATTCTACTGTAACTTTAGTCTGGTGACCGGTTAGCCCAAGCGATACCTATCTCGTTATTATGACCGTTAGCCAGTTCTGGACACTCGTTTATTAAAAGTATAATTTTAATTATTTATTCCGTGTTATCGTCGATAGTTTTGGAATAAGCTACTACCCCCCCCCCCCCCCAGAAAACAGCACTTCGGCAAAATATTTTATCTTGATAATTCATCCATTTTTATCACTGAAATGACCACTCAGTTTCCGTTGTAAAAGAGTACTGTAAAGTCCATATTTTAATCCACACATTTCTAAAGTTCCATGTCATCTTCGATCTAGTCAGCCGCCACCAGCGTCAGAATTTTATTAATGATTCAAATTGATTTAAGTGGTTAGTTTAATACATATTTTGTGGAAAATATCGACTGGCGGTTATTTTTGAATACATAAAGAGTCAAAGGGGCTGAATTTAAAATGGTTTTCGACTTTCCGGCGATGCGATAATTAGGGATTGGACTTTGGGAAAAAGTAACAAAACCGCCCAATTAAATAATATGGTATGATGTACCTAACAAAAATGTATATTGTTGTATCCTAAATGTTTTATAAAACTAGTATCTGTGTGTGTTTCTGGCGGATTTGGTGTTTGATACATATATTTATTGGTAGAGATTATAATGGATGCGGTCGTTTTCGTTTACGAAGGTAAACTGGTGATGGCCTTTAATGTTAATATAGACAAAGTAAAGTACTTTGTAGTTTAGCCAATATGAAAAGAGTATCCCTAATGTCATTGCCAGACTACATAAAAATTCAATATATCATAATATAAATCAGCGTGATTCTAGCTAAACGTGGGTGAAAGTCTGTAAATATCGGTATGGCACTGGAATTGGAAACATTAAGAAGTAGTATTGCGTTCGTCATTAATTACATCTTGCAGAAATATTTTGCCATACATACCTAATTTGTTGGTGTCCATATGTTGAAGATTTGACTTTAAGAGAGTTTTTAGAGAGAGCCCTGAGTTCTGATATAAAATCTATATGGCCGGCAGTTGTTGATGTAACTATAGAAATAAGAGTCCAGTTATATCTTTGTAATAAAGTAAACATGGCCTGTGTTTGATGATGAATGGTGGGTGCTATCTGTAATGTCCGGGATTCAACACGATTCTGAAATAAAGAAACAAAAACTATGATGAAGTAATTCTATACATGTACATATAGAAATATAGATCATAGCCATTGGTAGACAATACTATCTCTGATTAAACAACCAACTGTTAAGAAACATGTGTCATATGGCACTATACTGGATTGGGTATAATAGTTGGCCGGCCTTGCGGAAACCCGATTGTTTTTAAACCGTTTAATACCCAATAAGACTGAACTGATTCTGACTATTAACTTTACAATTCATGTTGATCCGATATGAAGGAAAATAGAGGAATTACAAACACCTAAATAAATCTCGTGTACGATCATAACCTGATCGATTATGTTTATCAGCTTTTCTTTGATTGTAACATAAAGCTGGTCATGTCAAGGAGAGTGTGTTATAGGTGTTGATTGAAACATGGCTCCTTATTTATAACTAACTTCTTGGTCACCCTTAACTTAGATTGAAACATTAAGGTCGTTCCATGAATTTCAGGTGAAAAACATCTACTCATAGAATCAGTCGAGTGTTAACGAGTACACACCCACGCCGACTGGCTCTGACTCCTAATAAACATGTGGTCACTGTGTCACTGGCGTTTCGGAAAACTTGGAGCGTTTTGGATGACTGGCAAATCGTTTTTCGTGCAGGTCTATATTCGCGACTTTGAGTGAAGATGTCTCAATAAATTATGAATAACCTGTAGCCAAGTACATACCACTTTTATATGAGCATTTTATCTGCTGTTTTAACTTAGGGCGCTTCTTTAGCATTATCGTGAAATGTATCTTTAAACTAAAACGTGGTACCTTCATCTAAAACTTGGACTGAAATTTGTGCCCAATCTGAGACTGGGGATAAATCCTACCCGTATAATTGCTTTGCACTTTTAAAAAGGATCCCAATCAAATGGGTAACAAGCAAATGTCATAAAATGAAACGTACATCATCTTTAGGATGACCTTTTAAACTGTAACCATGAGCAAAACCGACATTTATCTTCGGAATCAAAGAGTAATATATTCCCGATCATAAAGATGATTGGTTTTCTTCTGCTTAGAGAACCGTGTCATCTACTAACAATTTGTACAATAGTATATGTCTATACAAACGGGGCCATATTCTGAAAATTATTCATTATTTTTATAGCTGTCGAGAGATTCCATAATAACCGATGGCAAGATTTGCTCCTAGAGGAATTTCTCACTCAAACTAAGACCTCTTCTAGTGTACTCTGACCTCATGGAATTACTATTAACTACACTTGTTATGGCAGCATTCAAAGAATTCAAATTTGATATTCTTCCAAGGTTTTAGAAAACCTTTTCATGTTATTGTTCAGAGCTTTTAATGTTCATATCATTATACAGAATGAAGTGATCACTCACAGCCATAACCACTCTATTTGCTGATCTCAAGTGTTTCTCAAACTGCAGTCGACTATAGTAAAATATACAATTAAAACAGTATCAGAGTTTTCCTTTTGACATTTTACATTAACACAGTTTTAGAGATTTAGGGTAATGCATTTTTGGCATACGGTGAGTAATACTAAAGTTGAAAAAAGGAAAATACGAAAATATAATTTTCATTTTATTCCTTGAATATGAAGATAAATTTATCAGATAAAATGCCAATAACAACATACCTGAGAGCCCCCTGAATCGTCAGCATCCCATGAAATAAGTGGAATACCAAAATAAACAGCTAATTCAGTAACATATTGACTCGCGGCAGTACGACGTCTAATTGATAAAGGGTTGTTGATATGTAGGATAGTTGTTGTGTTTGACGGAAAGATTTCATCACAGAATGCACCAAGGATTTCTTTAGGACTGTCTTGTTTTAACAACGTCATCTTGACGTGTGGGTGAAAAGTATTGAATACTGCTCTATAACGTCTGTCGCGTTGAAACGAAAACAGACGGGTTAAAAATATTCGCTTAAATTCCTCCGCCCATCCAAAATGATTTGGCACCAAAGCTTGGAGATTCACCTGAACTCTCCCCACACAGACAGAGCATAATAAAGATAATAAAAATAACAGGAATATTAAGAATCGTTTTGGAGTCATTTTTGGTAATCACCAACGCTGCTACACTCAATAATAAAACTTATTGAAAAATTAGATTTGTCTATAATCCGAAATTCTTCCTCAAAGGATCACGTCACACATTATACTCCATTGATATTTGTTCATTAACGACCACACAATCTCAGATTCATCATAAGACGTAATCCATTGAACTTTAGCTTGGTATTTCAATAAAACAAGACACAGGTTACATATCCATTTCGAAAAGCGTCTGTTTCTAAACGTAACATTATCCTTTTATTAAATCCATCTATTTAAAGAATTCCCAACAGTTTCTTTTAACACATAGTAAAATAACAACGTCATCATTTCCTGTGGGTATTAACTTCTGAAGTCACAATTTTAAGCAGCTCTCCATGAAGAGATGATAGAATTCAGACTCTGAAAAATAAAGATGAATCAACTCAATTATATATTTTAACAGAGAGCAGGTGATCCTAGCTATTCCGTCTGTTCAATAATGATGTTTTGTATTGAAAGCAGTTTCTGGCATCATGTAAGGTTCGTGCATACCATGCAATGCGAAGTATGGGACAATGAGATGGAAACAGTTTGCTTAAATAAACCTATAAAAGTTCAACTAGTTCAAATTTTCACACTTTTAAGTAAACCTGCTGCTATTAAGAACATATAATTATATACCATATACAATGTTACTACAACATGCACATCTTCATTTTTATAGAAGTAAGAAAGATGTCGGCGAGTTGCTAAACACCGAATTGAAACAATAATGATAGGTTGCCGAGCGACGAAACATACACCCACAGCAGTCAACAAGGCTTATCGCATATTTTTGTTCTTTTGTCGGTAATGAAACATTATAATACACTAGAATCTGATTAAGTGTAACAACTCATTAAGTAATTATCAGAAATCATTAGAATTTGTTTGGCTTCTAGTTATGTCCCATGCTAACATTTAGTATACAAAACATTTAATATCATAGATTTAGATTTGAAATTCAATATATTTGTTCGTCTCAATGGGATTCTCCCGCTCATGACTTTAAACACTGAGTATACCTTTAAAGTCAATCGGATATTAACTTTAACCGCTATAGTGTCCACAAATTTTTTCAAATTTTTAATGTGGCGCATAAAAAAGTAACATAAATTGTTAGCTGAGTGAACTACCCGAATAAATGAGAAATTGCACGACACTTTATACACCACCCATGGTTTGGATATGGTAATTGTGTACACAACACAGCTGTACGCATTCGCGCTAAAGGTTGTTATCCAACAAACCCTTCTTCAACCATAGCTACAAAATGTAATAGATAAACGATATTGGGGTGATTGTTGAGATTTTGTATCTGTCAAATTGTATCGATATTTTATCTCGGAAGTGTCATCAGTTGTCTAGAATATATAGTTTCCGATGACTATAATGGCGTAACATCTGCGATGTGCCTACTTGTATTTTAGGAAGCGCGATTTTAAATACGCTAAATCTGTCCCCAATAGAAAATATTGATAATGTTTTTCAAAAAGAAAAATATTTTGTAAAAATGTTGTATTGAACATAGCTATATTCATTTTTAGAATTTACTTAAAGAGCTGAAATAATTCGTGTTGTTCTGAATTGTTGGAACTATGTGGACCATTTAGTTGCACAATACAAGAGTGTGGAAATTTAATTATTTATTTCATCTGTTATTTACGACGCATAACTGCATAAATTATACCCTTTACTTACTTCAGTGTATGCCTGGTTGAAGTTAGTCATTATTGGAATAATTTAAAATAAATATAATGTACAGTCAATCCCTAACGTGTGGTCAATATAAAAAGTCTGGTGTAGACTTGCTAATTGAGAAAACAGTGTCATAATGGAAAATCGTAGCAGGCAAGCATACCCTGCCTATTTATAACGTTGAGTTAGATGGAAAATAACATATAAAATAAAATAACGGCTTACGTATAAATCTGTAAACCTAACAAACACAAATAACCTGAGCATGCTCTGGCAGACCGATTAAGCTGGGAAATAAATACTTTACAATTAGTGAGTAAATACAATCGAAAATTAACTATGAAAATAAAATTGTCATAGTCGTTGTATCCTCAACTCGACAGGGTAGTGACGTCTAAAAATATATCAGACAATGTGCTAAAAAATGCTTTATTACATTGAATTTCATTTGCTAGCATGACCGCAGAATTAACGTTTAACATGGATCAGTCAGAACGATATGACACGTTTTAAATGTCAATTATATTAAGTAAAAACATTATTATTATATTATAGAGAAAACAATGTATTACTGGCCCATGGTATAAATTGTATTCATACTTTTATGAACAATTTAGGCGTAGCAACTTGTCGTTAACCACGTTAAAAGTAATAAAAATAGATATGTCTTTTCCATATTAGAATTTGAGCGTAATTCGAATGCTATCAAAGAATAAAACACCGTCAGTCATTTTATTGAAATATTCATTATTATGGATTTCTAAAAACAAAATTCAACATTATTGATTACGACTAGAAAACAATAAAAGCTGCATTTTCGAGTTAAATCATAAACATTTTTATATCTGAATATATAAAGTATTTAACAATAAATAAAATGAAATGAGGTTGTTAATATTTCAAGTTTGACTGATTATTGTAAATTCATATACTGATGACCATCATGAAAAGGTGTGTCCATTATCAGTCTATAACGCTATTCATTTGTATAGCAATTAAAATGTATAGCAACGTAAACAGCTAGGATTGTTATTCAAAAGGAGTAAATGGAGCAGACTGTCTTTTATGGCAACTAGCAACACGTGTTACTCTATTATTATCCTTTATCTGGTTAGAAATTATATACAAGGAACATTAACATTCCACTCTGTGTTTTATATTTATGATCTATCACTGTCCTCGTGGCTCACTACTTGTGTACTGTGGTACACAAGTGAAGTAAAGTTTACTTTAGTACACCATTAAAGTTTACTGTCGTACAGACGTGGCGTTGAGTTTACTTTATTTACTGTAGTACGCAAGTGAAGTAAAGCTTACTTTAATACACAATAAGCGTTTACTTGATTGTTTACATGATTATTCAAGTAAAGTTTACTTGATTGGATACCCAAAGTTTTCTTTGGTATGCCCACTTTAAAAGACACAACTACAGGACAGTGTCTTCGTTTCTCTTAAAGGGCACAGGGTTTTCGACATTACAAACACGAATTATTGGCCCATTCCAATCAATATCTTCTGATATCATACTGTGAAAATATGGACTACTGACATCCAATATGTAAGACACAGTGAATATTATTGCTATATCGGGATTTGAAATGAAGCGCCTTGATGAACGTAGTCTCTATCAGTCTGGATGCGTTGTCAACATTTGAGAATAATAGGTCATTGGCTAGATTATCCGGTCTTTTTACATTATCATAGACAAAGTCTAAGGGAGGTAACTAGTAGTAAAACAAAATGTCGACGCCCATGATATTAATTTAAGCATGCCATTTCAGAAAATCCATTGTATTGCATTGCCAGTTCAATATCCAACACCTTTAAAAAAAATATTCTAAAATTTCTCTCTTCATGGGCCATATCTACGTTTCTTAATTAATCCTAATTTGTCGTCTCGATTCATGTTTGTTTATAATATTGAAAGAATTATGGGATTTACTTGTCTTGGCCAAAGATACTGGATAATCAACCACATGAGCGATGTACTGTTCGTCAAATATTGACAACGGTCCCAGACCCTCCGTATTGAAGACTAGGAGGTTCTGGGTGACCAAGACTATGGTGAACGAGGCTAAACAGCTGTGTTTGTTTAGGTCGTGTTTTTTCGCCAAAGGTCGCGAGGTCAAATAGATCCTACATAAATATATACATGGGACCTTCACCCGCGGAAATGGTTATACACGTCGGACTCAACAACAGGGAGGAAGGATACACGAGCAGATGCTAGATCTGCTCGCAGTGGCTAGACTAGAGCAGTTTTCCCAACAACCAAGCTCTTCACCACCTCTTCCCGATGCCGACTAGACAACCAGATCGCCTACCAAACAAAACATCAGCAGCTACAACCAATTTATCTCGACTGTACCTTCACCAAACCCCACCACACTACCAAACTTCAAGGGCAAAGTAGAATTGAAAGAAAACGAAGCCATCCTTGCAAGACAAGGAATACATAACAGCAAAACAATATGATTATCTATCCACTAAATCTGACTGACGACAACGACATCTCTATACGCTACCAAAAATACATAAAAATCCAGAAACGCAATAGTTTATACCTAATAAATTGCCGAAGGGACGCCCGATAATATCAGACTGTGGCAACGAATCATACAACGTATCAAAATATACATGTATAGACCATTTCTTATTACTCCTAGCATACCAACACCTATCCTACCTTAAAGACACTTATGATTTTATTCACAAAATCAAACAGTTAAGAGTCCCCGGGCACACCATTTTAATATCCATGTACACGAACATCGATAATACCACAGGAGTTAAAGCAGTTAGGAAAGCATTTCTTAGGAACTCGCAAGCATCCAGACCGGACGAAGAAATCCTCAAATTACTCGGCATTTGTCTGAGAAGGAATGACTTCGCTTTCAACACCAAGTATGCCTCCAATCTTCCGAAACTGCGATGGGAAAACGATTTGCCCCAAGTTATGCAAATCTCTTCATGGTGGAGTGGGAAAGGGATGTTCTGCCACTCTGCCCATTAAAATCAGAATCTATGAACGTTTTTCAACATTCTGAGTAATCATCATCCATCTGTCATCAAATTATCTGCAAATGTAAGTCATAACAGCATAGATTTCCTTGACACTGCCGTTTTTAAAAGTAGCAACACCAAAAACACAGGCCAATACTCTAGCTGAACTTGAAGCCAAAAAAACAAACAATATGCAATCAGTAGTTAAAACCAAAACTTGTGGCCATTCCAGATGTCAAACATGCAAAATCATAAACATATCTGACCAGTTCCATAACAAAACATCTGACACACAATTCCCAATATTAGACCAACTTTCTAGCAGCAGTTCAAACATAATTTATCTAATTTCATGCAGACAATGTGACAAACAATACGTAGGGGAGACCCAAAATGCACTTAGAGAAAGAATTAACGGTCACCGGTCAGACAAAAAAGACAAACCGGTCTCAATTCATTTTAACCAACCAAAACATGGCATTTCTGATCTCATTGTCACACCAATAGAAGAAATTAAAACGTTTAGGCTATCTAGAGAAGAATTCTGAGTTGACAAATTGAAAATAACAGTCCCCCCATCCCATTTACGCAACTTAGCTAGTGCGTCCCAAATCATTAGAAAACAATATACTGATCTTCGGGAAAATCACTCGAAAATCTTCACACA